GCCATATTAAAAATGACTGAAAATTAAAAATATTAATATTTTTAATTTTAAAAATTAAAAATATTAATATAATAATATTTTAAATTAAAAATATTGAAATTAAAAATTAAAATTTGTTTAATTTTTGTAATAAAATAACTACTTTAATTATTTTCTAATTAAACAAATTAAAAAAAATATGTGAATTTCTGAGTGAATCTGAATTATAAATTATAAAAAAAGACTACTCTACAAATATTAGAATATTTCAATTACTTTGTATTTTTGAAATAATAATCTATAAAAAATTAAACAATAATAAAATAAATTTCATATGTACAAAGAACTTTTAGTAACAAATCAATTATTGTTTTATTTAAGATAGTTAAGAATGAAAAAGGTTTTACCTCTAATTCTTCCGTAGAGCGAACGTCAATTACGTGCAGATGTTCTAAAGTATCCATAGTTACGAGTGTCCTCGAATTAAGCCACTAAATTGAAAGATTTTACCAGCAATATGTTTAATTTGGGATATTTAATTTCCTATCAATTTATAATTTACTTACAGTAAAATTTTGTATCGTGTAATTTAATTCAATCTGTTGCAGAGGAATAAAATTAATCTTTTCGGCAGACACAAAATGAACCTGTTAGGAAGAAATTATTAAATTTTTAAAATAAATTTTCTTATTGCCATTAAATTATATTATAAATACATCAATTATAGCAAAAACTATTGTATTTATTGTAAAAAGTTAAGTACAAAACTACATTTAATGACTTTCAAAAAACTATACATATATACCACAGAAAAATTTGATGATATCTTTGATCCATTTGGAACAACAAATGAAGTTCCATCTATGAATAATCAACAACAATCTCAAAATATTTTCAGTTAGCTAAAGAAAGAAAATGTTTCAAATGCAGCATATGATCCAGCATGTATCTGGCTCTCCATTTGTACTTAAAGTCATTACTCTCTGTCTGTTGTTATCCTCGTTAGTTGGTTTCTCCTTTCTCTGTCGGTTATCGTTCACTCTAGCTGAGTTTTCCCAAGCTATTTTAGAAGTTTTTACACACACACACACACACACACATTTATTTATTTATTTATTTATTTATTCAAGAAGGAATGATATAGGCACTCCTCACTTAATGGCCTACTTGTTTAACGACCTCTTGGATTTTGACCAGCTATCCAGCACCCCTTAGTCTCATTTCTGAAGTTTCACTACATAAAGTATTCACTATTTCCAAGACTACATATTTTATTTATAAATTAGTACTTTATTGTGCACCCCTAAAGTACTGTCAGCAAAAAGGAAGAGCATGACTTTGGAGAAAGTACCAAGAATTGAAGGAAGGTTATTGATTGAGATGAAAATGAAGTATGAATCATAAATAACTTTGGAGCTGGCAAAAAAATAAAAAATAAAGCAATAACACATTAACACATAATTTGAAACCGGTGCAGGCAACCATTTTGACAATCCTGAAGGATATAGAGTATGAAAGAAATAGTGAAAGCATCGACAAGATTTAAAGTCATTAGTAGGCAGTGAAAAGGCCTCATTTGTGAAATGGAGAAATTACTGCCAACCTGGTTTGATGACCAGATTGCCAGTAATTTCTTCTTTTCAAACCGACAAACCTTTTAACAATTCATGCCAAGGTATGCAGTATCTTTCGGACTTTGAAGGTGCACAAAGGTGAAGAATCAACAGAAACATTTACGACAAACCTGGACAGTTTCAATGGTTTCATTGAAGATTTAACTTGCATAATTGGAGTATCAACGGTAAGGCAGCAAATGCATCAAAACAAATTAGTAAGCACATCCTGCCCATTTTCAATTCAATCTTTTATTGTATGAACCTTAGTTTGTTACACAAGAGTTAAAGTAATACATAAAAAATTAAGTTAGTACAATATAACAAATTAATATAAATAAATATAATGAACATCCCGATGCATTGATACTAAACCAACCAATCAATGTAATTAAATCAGGCTACTATTATATTATTATTAATAATTAGAAATTAAGTAATTTGGTATTAGAGGTAGACGTTAGGCACCCATTTCTTATCTAAAATAACAATTATAATAAATTATTAAGTTATTATAATTATTAATTTAGATAATTTTTAATTTGTTAACTTATTTGTACTATGTGTACTTTTTATCCAACTGAATTTGTAAATGATAAAAATGCTCATATATAATACATATATGGTAGGCGCTGCTCATTGTAATTGCAGATATTTTCATCAGCTATCTAACATTACCAGAATCAACATTTCCCAAAGAAATAAACTAAATAACAACACAAACTTTTTATTTTAATGCAAAATGTGTGTGTGTGTTACATGAATTAGACTCCTGAAGACATCCAAAACACAAGTCTAAAAATTGGTTAATAATTGACAAGAAAATTTCAGTATCTGCTATGATGGTATCACAGAAATATATCAAATTGTTATTGAGGAAGGGTCTGGAAAATTATCTAATTAAATTGAAGAATATCAACACAGAGATTGTCTATATTCTCCAAGAAATGCATAGATGCAAGAAATTGAGTATTTGTCATAATGTACAATACAGACTCTCACCTAAACGTCAAAGTTCCAGCAAAATACCCAAATTCAACATTCGAACATTTTCGGCCACTCATTAATCAGCCTTCATATGGAAAAGTCAAACGAAAATAACTTTTAAATAATAACAACTATGTATCAATATTAACACTAAAATTGGATCAAGAAAGCCACACAGACGTTAATTTCTTGGATGTAAAGATTCACTTAGAGAATAATAAGTTCAACACCACAGTGTACGCAAACCCACTTACATCCCTCTATTCATACCGGCCAAATCTGTTGACCCTTGGTCATATAAAACATCTGCTTTCCACGCACTTGTGGCTCAAGCCCACTCACATTGTACACAGCTCTCAGATACTAACAATGAGCTAGAACAACTGAAACATATCGCATCCAAGCATGGGTACAGCCACTCATTTATCAACAATATAATGTCCACACATCAAGCCAGTTCAAACAACAACAATACTAACATTAACAATACAGAAGAGAAACAGGTAGTCCTAAGTTACGAACCATCCCTCCATCACATATACAAGAGGATAGCCAAGGATTTAAACATACACATATCGTACAAAAGGAAACCCACCATATTCCATCTTTTATCTAATGCAAAGGATGAAACTTAGGATGCAAGAGCACCTGGAGTTTATCACATCCCACCACATAATGCCAGGTTCAGCCAGATACTAACCTACATTGGTTTCACACACAGATCATTACAAGCACAGTTATGTGATCACAGGTATGACATTGCAAAAGGAAACATCGATACGGCCCTGGCCCGATCTGTATGCCACTGAGCCATAAATTTACCCCATATGGGAGAAGGCAACCCTAATACACAAGGTATTTGACAGACAGCATATAAGAACATTAGAGGCTGCAGAAATCTACAGGGCCAACATAAGAGAAACATGAAAATAACTGTTCAAATAGAACAGTTATTTTCATGTTATTTTCATTTGAACATTTCAACAGTTATTTTCATTATTTGAACAGTTATGAAAATAACTGTTCAAATAGAACAGTTATTTTCATTTGACTTTTCCTGACGAAGGCCAATTAACGAGTGATCAAAAACATTCGAATGTCGAATTTGGGTATTTTGCTGGAAATTTGATGTTTAGGTGAGAGTCTATACATCGTTCCAGTTTATTTCGTGGTTTTTGTACAGTGCAGACATCAAATTTCAAAACCATTACAAACAAGCGCATTTTATTAATGAAATAGTGCCAATAATATAACTGACAAATAATGTCATACAAACCACTCAAGTAATTATTATTATTATTATAATTAATAAAATTTTAAATTAATTATTAAATTTATTTTCTAACATTTTTCATTGTTTAAAAATGGTTTTAAGTTGTATGGTTCGATAAAACTAGAATTTCCACTATTGTGGTCTAATTGCTTAGTCACGTAGCATTATCGCTCGTTTATTGTTATCAGTATAAACTAGTCCAAAAATCAGTACAATAAGAAGCAACCACCTTTCTTATTTTTATTTCAGTGATAATATCAGTCCTTAAGAATTCTTTTATTCTATACAAATTTTTCATTTAAGATTTAGTTTCTTTTTCAGAAATATTTAATGCATCTACCTTTACCTTCAGCTGCCTGAAAATCAACAAAAAAAAAAAAATGGTTTTTGAACTATTAGACTCAAGGTGAAGCCAATAATTTTTTCCACTATTAATAACAGTGAAGTCTAAATAAAAGCATTTTCAGCTTTATCAACAATTTACAAGTTATAATAATAATTTCCATCGAAAGTTTTCAATGCTTGTATGAATGTCAACAAGCTAAATGTAACAAAACAGTAATTTTATAACACTTAAATTTATATTTCATCATCACTTTAATATTTTGTTTTAATGTTTGTCTACTAAAATATCAATTCGTTTTTTAGAACTGTATCTAACCTATGAGCAATTTTTAATTTTACCTGATAAAAATATATGTTATTTTGACGTCCAAATGCCAGAACCGGATCGAATATACGAGTTGCTGGCCAAATCTGAACCACCACAAACTGCCACGATATTATCGGTAGCGTGTCGGGATTCGCCTAAGTAATAAAAAAATTTTCATTTTTATTGAATTAATATTAATAATACAAAAAGTCAATTACCTTATAAACAAATTACCCTTATTTTTATTTACAACTTACGTGAGTGTTAAATTTACTATACAGTACTTTCATTATTTAATTTAAAATTTTAAATTATAATATTTAAGTCATACGTAAATTCTATTTAAATGAATTTAATTATATAATTTCATAATCGTTATCCAATTTCAAAACTAGAAAACAATAGGAATTATAAGATAACAAAAAGATTTATCTATGAAATATTTTGACATTTTTTAAGAAATTTAACTTAAGATTAAATATATCCAAATGTTTTTAATATTTTTCTTAGTTCACATTCAGAATTATCACTAAGTAAATTAGTACATATAAAATCTATACACATTAAGTTAAATAATTTAGAGATCAATCATGTTTTAACACTTTCTTTATTTAAATACAGTCGACTCCCCTATAACGCGTTGTAGGAATCCTTAAATACATGAACCAATCACAGCCTGATACATGTACAGTTTACGGACTATGGCTGTTTGAAAGGTTTTCTTCCATAAAATTAATCGATTCTTCACTAATTTGAGTCAACATTTCCAAAACACGTATAATTTTTTGGGAATAATCTGTATAAACTATGCTATAAACAAAAAAATTGTAGGATTATTTACCAAGCGTGCACCGTTCGACCACACCATTGCTTAAGCTTGTTTTCGTCACAGAGCAGCGCACCAAATGGCGGGCGCGTTTTCTCATAAGTTATTTTTCTGCGAAAAATTTGTTGAACTTTGGAGACATCATTAATAGAAATAATTTTTATGGTCGTTGAATAAGAAATGTTTTTTTTCACAAGAAATGTATAAAATTACAATACTGTATTAGACTTACAGTACCTAATTTATGTACTGTACAGACGATAGTAAACTCGACTTACCCACCTAAACTCTCTGAAGCATGTAAGTAGTTCAGCTGCTCGTCCACTATTGATCCAGATTCGACCAATCCTGTTGCGACACGAGTCGGCGATGACATTTTACCGCATTTTACGAGTCTCTTTTAGTGTCTTTATATGAATACGGTTGCAATTTTTTCGCCGCGATATACAAATCCGCATTTGATTCAATATATGAACCAGCGTTACAGGGGAGTTGACTGTATTCCTCAAAGTTAAAAAACTGTGTTTTAATTTATAATATTCTGTATATTTAAGACAAATTTTAAACTAAATCCAATACAACTTGATCCTCATGCCAAATATTAAATCAAAGGAAGGAAAACTCACAGAGTAACAGTGTTAATAGCTTTTTTTATATTGCTAGCACTTTCAACAAACTTATGTTCGTCATCGTCAGACAAACAAAATTTAAAATTCGAATACAAATATTCTAACATGAGTGGAACACACATTATTTAAAATTAAAAACCATTATAAGCATGTTATAAACTTTGATTATACTCAATATTATGATGTCATGCAGTACATGGACGGATGCAGATCTATGTTAATGGTGTGACAGCAGATGTAAATCACTATTTAACCATTTATATTGGGCAACCCATATGTTGGGCAGGTCAAGCATGGGAGTGTTGCATGGTTCCAAGGTTGTTGTGATGAGAGATTCCCATATAAAGAAGAGTTTCCGGTAGCTACAGCATCTGAGTAGCATTGTTTGAGCCAGTAATGAGTTGTTGTTCTGTTCAAGCATCTTTTTTGTGAGCTCTGTCATGTATTTTCCTTTCACCACATCATTCTGGTGTTTGGCTAGGTGGCTAACAAGCATTCTTGTTGTGGCCCCAATGTACCTCATATTCATTCCAGGATTCTTCAACAGTACAGCATAAATCCCAGATTTTTCAAAGATGGAGAATTTATCCCAATCATTGCAGATTAAAATTCAGTAGGGGAGATAGGGGCAGGAGAAAGTTATGTTGCCTGAATATGCAGCAAATGAGTATGGAAAGGTGTCCAAAGTACAGTAATGATGGTAAAACTACTTAACACTTCCCTTCTGTTACATAGTGTTGTGCTTGGAAATAGAGATTTCCTGACCATATTAAGCACATGCATACACTTAGCTTGTGAAAAACCAGCTGCATGTACCACTAAACTAATGGCATTTAACTCAATGTTTACAAGCGCTTGTGTTGATGGGAACAAGAAGGCTCTTCTAATGATAATGGTGTCAACATATCGCAAAGGTTGGAAAGCATCTGCCAGGATGATATGAGGCATTTTATTAAATTTATGGTAAACCATGAATAGTAGTCCTTCAAGGAATTTATGTATGCACAAATCCAAGAATGTTATTATCACATTAATCTTTTTCTCCCAAGTGAAGTTAATAGAGAGATGTATGCTAAACATTTGTTGTTTGAAGGTAAAAAATGTCTCATCTGTGTCCTCCCATACTATGAGGATATCATCAATGTAACATAAGTACAGCAGTGGGTAGTGGATGGCAAGCAGGAAATTAAATGTCCTGTGCTCGATTTCTGTCATAGTCAGCTCCGCTAGAACAGCAGATAAAGAGGAACCCATGGGGACTCCCGTTTCTGTAAAGAAATTTTCCGATTAAAACGAAAATAACTGTGCTCAGTGATCAATTGATGAAGTTTCAGAAAGCCACATTTAGTCAAACTGTCCAACATCTAAGTATTCTGTCCTGATGTTGAGAAGTGATGGAAAAAGTAAATGTGTGAGGTTATAAGGCAAGATTTGGCCGTTCTAGAAAGACCATTGAGAGAAATGAACATTGATTACAAAACAGTCATAAGTAGCTGCAACAAAATTTTTGTTCACCATCCAGACACAGATGAAAGCATTACCATAGAATCCTGTCTCTTCCTGCATTATTTGGCATGCAACTTACATAGTCAAAGCTGCAAGAACAGTCAATGCTCTTAGCATGTCATTAGCAGCCAAATGTCATTTAGCTTCATTTACAGTTGTGCTATGACAGTGAATCACTGACTTATAGACTGGCAACATATCTTTAAATCTCTTACAGTAAATCCCTTCTATATTAATAAAAAAGGACTATTGAAAAGATCAGTAGTTTTATATTTTAAAGTACCTTCCCTTTTGAAGGTTTTTAGAATTAAAATATATATGTAATCTGTTTTCACAATATACAAGCACATCTTTAGTAATGAATCCCAGTTGTTTGGGAACATATAACCACCATGTAACTGTGAAAACCACACAGATGAATGCCTCAATTATGCCTTTAGAGCCATGCACACAAATTGGAGTGCATCCCCACATACTGCTACAACCATTAGCAATATTGCATTTGCAAACTATTAAGTTTGAAGAGAATCTTACTGCCCATTGAACTTTATTATCGGCCAATTTCAAATTGTTTGAGTGTGCACTCGCATGTCTTCATGTAATTTAAAGATCGATAAAACTATTAGCTGATCAAAAAGTCTGTAATGTACACGGGCTCTTACTGTTGAATGGCATATTGGTCTGAGGAGCCATCTAATATGACAGTCAGCCACCCGTAAGGGACATTGTCAACACAACAGTACTTTCAAGAAATCCCACATCCTCCTGTGTTGCCTTTCATGGGAGAGTTGCAAATAGTCACTTTTCAGCAACATAATGCTCAGCCACACACAGGTAGAATTTCTCAGAATGCATCCATGACACTGCACCACTCTTCCTCAAAATGTCCAGCTTCCAGATATTCACACATTAAGCATTCGTGGGACCAGATGGAATGCCAACTTTGGCCATTTATGAATGCACAAGATCTGGAGCAGCAGTTGTAACATCAATGGACACGTGTCACAGAATAGCATATGGTACCTACATTAAACACCTCACAAACTGGTATATATTATCTAAAAACATAAATCCAGTATACCAAACCAGTTAAACAACAAAAATATTTAATATGATATGAATGAAAATGTTTGTTATATTAAATATTTTTGCCATATAATATCCGTAATTTATGTCTTTGTGCCAAACTGTATCATTGTATGTATCCAAGTAATGGAAGTTTTACAAGATACAAAAGGTTCCTTTAAATTGTACCATTGTTTCACAGGAAATTGTTCCTTTAATATGGTATTATAATTAGTTATTACCATCATTATTATATTTGCACTAATAAAGTTTCATTCAATTCCGAATACCTCCTTGATGAGTAGAAGTTTTTATCAATGAGTGTTTATATAAATATTTTTCTTAGACAGGAAACACAAAGATACTGTCAAATCGATCTCTAGCATGTCTCTTTCAATGGTAAATATATTAACTGTTCATATGGAAAAGTCAAACGAAAATAACTTTTAAATAATAACAACTATGTATCAATATTAACACTAAAATTGGATCAAGAAAGCCACACAGACGTAAATCATTATTGATATCTAGCATATTAATAAAATCACTAATATAAGATTATATTTAATATTCTTTAATAAAAATACTTACTCTTAATGGATGAGTAAACCAAACTTGAAGACTGGGTCGAACAGTTACGACAATTAACTGAAAGTACATTATTATTTACTTTTCAATCTTAACAAGCATAACGATAATAAATAAATTGAATATAAATTTAAACATAAACAGACAATACAAGATTCCAAAAAGTATTTTTCTGTAAAACTAAAACAAATAAAACAAAAATTTATAACAAACAATATGTCCATTGAAGCTAAAGTCTGAATATCTGAACTTCTACAATTGGGATGATCTGAGAACTGTATTCCAGTTGTTATTTCTTGTCTTCAAGAGAGAGCATGTCATAAAGTGGGTCAATCAGCAATCTGTTTGCGAGGTATCATCTTTCAAAAGTAAGACAATGCAAGAACACAAGAAACAATGCTCTGTTAGATGAAAATTTATGTAGAGAATGTTTATATGAGTGTTTATATGTTGTTGACCATTAATGCTGTA